GAAGGAGCGCTAAACAACAATTTAAAGAAATCACGTTATTTTTTAAATACTTTGCCTTGTTATCGTTCTGTTATTCCATTATTCCTTTATTCAGTCATTCATTTGTTCTTTGTGCTTGGTGTTATTTTATCTTATCGACGCCCAGTTATTCCATTGTTGCCAATATTTCATTTATTCAAAGGGAAAGAATTGTCTTTTAATTTACATTCTTCTTGAAATCATATCATTTTTCCTCCTCCAGTATTGAGATGTCTGTTTATTCTATTAAACCATTGTTCCCAAGATTCTATTGTTTTAACTGTTTTTATTTTTTCCTATAATGATGGGGTGAAAGCATTAGTGCATTTATGTTCACACTATATATATATATATATGTGTGTGTGTGTGTGAGTGTGTGTGTGTGTGTGTATGTAGAGACAGAGAGAGAGAGAGAGAAGGAATACATATATATATATATATATATATATATATATATATATATATATATCCCTCTCTGAATCTGATTATGCATATTTGTGTTTCATTATTTGTGTGTTGGAAGGGGGAATTATCTTCTGTGTTTTCTTGGGATGACACTCTCATTCACATACATACAGATGTATGCATTTTAGATTATTTATATGGGTGTTTTGTACAAACTAAAATGCATACACCTGTATGTTAACTCTGTCACAGATATTGAGCATTTTCTACTAAGTACCACACACACAAGCACACACACACACACACACACATATATATATATATATATATATTACTGAATATACATAACATTCAACGTCGATAACACGATTCGGAGTGTGTGTGTGTGTGTATGTGTGTGTGTGTGTGTGTGTGTGTGATAGAGTGAGAAAGGGAGAGCGAGAATGAGAGAAAGAAAGAAGTGCTTGTGAGTGTGCTTGTGTGTGTGCTTGCTTTCGCTTGATTTCTTTGAATGGGGAAATCTATATTTGCATTTCTTCGCATGTGGAACGTGATATATATATATATATATATATATATATATATATATATATATATATATATATATATATATATATATAGTGTATCACAAAAGTGAGTACACCCTCACATTTCTTCAAATATTTAAGTATATCTCTTCATGGGACAGCACTGAAAAAATTACCTTTTGACACAATGAAAAGTAGTCTGTCTGCAGCATATATAACAGAGTTAATTTCTTTTCCCCTTAAAATAACTCAAAATATAGCCATTAAAAGCTAAATCCCTGGCAACAAAAGTGAGTACACCCCTAAGAAACTACACCCCTAAAAAGTGAGTACACCCCTAAGAAACTACACCCCTAAATGTCTAATTTGAGTACTGATTTTCATTTTCCCTCCAAAATATCATGTGACTCATTAATGTAACTATGCCCATGTGTTCATGGGGAGCAGGTGTATTCAAATTTGTAGTGTAGCTCTAACACTCTCTCTTACCGGTCACTGAAAGTTCCAACATGGCACCACATGGCAAAGAACTCTCTGAGGATCTTAAAAAACGTATTGTTGCATTACATAAAGATGGCCAAGGCTACAAGAAGATTGCCAACACCCTGAAACTGAGCTGCAGCACAGTGGCTAAGATCATCCAGCATTTTAAAGAGCAGGGTCCATTCAGAACAGGCCTCGGGTAGGTCGTCCAAAGAAGCTGAGCGCACGTACTGAGCGTTACATCCAAATGCTTTCTTTGAAAGATCGGCGTAGGAGTGCTGTTAGCATTGCTGCAGAGATTAAAGAGATTGGGATTCAACCTGTTAGTGTTCAGACCATACGCCGCACACTACATCAAATCGGTGTGCATGGCTGTCACCCCAGGAGGAAGCCTCTTCTAAAGGCAATACACAAGAAAGCCCGCAAACAGTTTGCTGAAGACATGTCAACAAAGCCCATAGATTACTGGAACCATGTCCTATGGTCTGATGAGACAAAATTTAATTTTTTTGGTTCTGATGGCCTTAAGCATGTGTGGCGGCGACCAGGTGAGGAGTACAAAGATGTGTCATACCTACAGTCAAGCATGGTGGTGGGAATGCCATGGTCTGGGGCTGCATGAGTGCTGCAGGTATTGGAGAGTTACATTTCATTGACGGAAACATGAACTCCAACATGTACTGTGAAATACTGCAGCAGAGCATGATCCCCTCCCTCCAGAAACTGGGTCGCAGAGCAGTGTTCCAGCATGACAATGACCCCAAACACACACCCAAGACAACCACTGCTTTACTGGAGAGGCTGAGGGTAAAGGTGATGGACTGGCTAAGCATATCTCCAGACTTGAACCCAATAGAACATCTTTGGGCCATCCTCAAGCAGAAGGTGGAGGTGCGCAGAGTCTCAAATATCCGCCAGCTCCGCGACGTCGTCATTGAGGAGTGGAAGAGCATTCCAGTGACTACCTGTGAAGCTCTGGTAAACTCCATGCCCAGGAGAGTAAAGGCAGTTTTGGATAATGATGGTGGCCACACAAAATATTGACAGTTGACATGCTGTATATTAATATTGACAACTTTTCCTAAGTAGTGTACCCACTTTTGTTGCCAGGGATTTAACTTTTAATGGCAATATTTTGAGTTATTTTGAGGGGAAAAATAAATTAACTCTGTTATATATGCTGCAGACAGGCTACTTTCCATTGTGTCAGTGTCATTTTGTCAGTGTTGTCCCATGAAGAGATATACTTAAATATTTGAAGAAATGTGAGGGGTGTACTCACTTTTGTGATACACTGTATATATATATATATATATATATATATATATATATATGTGTGTGTGTGTGTGTGTGTGTGTGTGTGTGTGTGTGTGTACTGGGTGAGAGCAAAGTTTTCCAAATTGTGTAACAGTATGGGATAATTGTCCATCCCACAAAATATTTAATAAGTAAAATAACAGTAGACTAATTGACTTTCTTTTTTCAATGTTTTAAGATAAGATGTTTAGCCATATTGAAACTATTTGTTGTAAGAACCACTGAAAAATCCTTTGAGTTATTCAACGAGAACGAGCAGAGTTTAAAATCGTTTTTTGTTTTGTGTCTTCCCAAATGAGAAATGGCGAGAGGGAAACGATCATTAAGGCCTTCAGTAATGGTACCAAGTTTCATAGTCAGGCTTCCATCTTCAAAGTCTATTCAAGAATCAAGAGAACGGTCAATAAGTTTAAATCAGAGGGAACAGTAGAGAGGAAAACTGGATCAGGGGGTCACAACGGCAAGAAGGATCATCATTTCAACTATAACTCGAGCTAAATACATTCTTATTGTTCAAAGTAGAGTCCAATATTGTTATTAAATCGTCGGAGAATTCCAATGAGATATCTTTAACCATTTCTAAGATACAGCAGATCTAAGCATAATTTAACATATGGATAATTTTGCTGTTGCACCTGGTATATATATATATATATATATATATATATATATATATATATATATATATTGTAGCCCCGATTTCATTAGCCACATAGACGTTAGGCTAAAAAGCACCCCAAAGTAAAATCTTAAATTCTAGTCGAAAATTAGATATAAAAGAAAAACAAATAAATAAATATAGAAATTTAATCCAATGCTTTCAACTTGCGAGCGAATATGTTCCTTGATCAGCCATATCCTCCTCTTCTCTTCATAAATTCTTTCCCTCTTTGTCTACTCTTCCACCCACGAGCCAAGGGCCCGTGAACTTTGAAGTGACCCGACGCGAGAATGACCTGGTTCCAAAATTTCGCAGACCATAAGTGAATTCCAGGCACCATCAGGGTCTCCTGCTGCGATTCACGTGATCAGAACATACTAAGCGTGTATTGAACTTTTGGCCATCACACAAGCACTGCGTGATTTGCGCCCTATCCTTTTGCGTACCTGGTCAAGGACGAAGGGAACCCACGTGACTGTCTTTGGGGACAGCAAACAGCTAAAAAAGTATTTTCAGTTTCCCTCTGACCAGCGGCAGTTGAACGTCGCTGGGCAAAAATCGTCAGACTGCCCACTGAGATGAAGATGACAGCAAAGTCTGTCGACTAGAGATGAAAGGACTGCTATGAAACTGAATCAACCCAACCAAACGCCTGTACGAGATGCTGTGGACCATTGAACCCTTGTGAAAGAAAAGGAATCCAGGAAAATTGCCGGCCGACCAAAATATTGCTGTAGCATAAGAACTCTCGCTTCGGCGAATCAGAACTTTGTGTGAAAATATCAACTCGACTGAAAGTTGATTCTCTTGGTTTGATCTGTTTTTATATATGTATATATTCGCTCTAGCCTCTGTTCTTTAATGATCCCCCTCCCCTTTGTTAAATGAATGTTCTTTTTTTTCTTTATCTCTTTATATATATTTATAAATAAATGTTTTATTTGAAATCCATCGTCTTGTGTCTGTTCTTCGTTGACTCCCTTGTGTCGCTTCCATTTCTGAGTGAAGACCGAGAAAGGGTCCCACGTTTTCCTTTTTTTTAAACCCGTGGTTAATCTATATGCTACAAGTTCGTAACAATATGTATGTATATTCCTCTCTCTCTTTCTTTCATTCACATTCACTTTTTATTCGGAGATCCGAGTTCCAATTCGAGATGTGTTCGTTATATTTTCTTACGCGCAAATACCATTGGGAAATGTATGTATCTACCTATGCTCCCCCAGCTATGGGTTAATTAGTCAAACATGTATCACTAAATCATTATTATCTCCAGGAAATAAAAAGAATTCTTACAATTTGAAATATTTTATGGTTTTAAATAACTTGTAACGGGTTGATAAGCAGTAAAAAATGAATGAATCAATCAATCATAGGTCACCACCCGCAACAGTGACTAGATCGGTTTTTTTCTTCATTTGTAGCACCAAGGGAAAGCCGATAGTTTATAAGTGACGTAAAATCCAATTTGCATTATACTGCTGAAGAAGGTTGTAGAATGAATCAACCGAAATGTTACGAGAAGGATTTTCCTGCCTTCAAAATCAGCATTCGAAATACTGACTTTTGCTTGGATTTGAACGCTGATCTCAAGTAACAATGGTGAATACGCACACACACAAAAGGATGTGGAGAGTGATAGAATGAAAAGGTAAGAAGAAGAGAAGGAGAAAGAAAGGAAGGAGAGACGGGAGAAAGAAAGAGAGGAATATAGAAGGATTGAGAGAGGGAGAGAGGGTGAAAGAGAATGGGAAGAAAGAGAGAGCAGAGAAAGAGAAAAAGAGAAGGACTGAGAGTAAAAGAGGGGGAAGGAGAGATGGGAAGAGAAATGGAGATAGAAGGATTGATAGTGAAAGAGGGGGAGGAGAGAGGAAGAAGATGGAGAAAGATGGATTGAGTGTGAGAGAGGAAGTAAAGATGGGAAAGAGTGAGTGAGAGATAGAAGGATTGAGAGAGAGAGAGAGAGAGAGAGAGACAAGAATTACGTCTCAAGCGACCACATACACACGCACACAAATATTTACAAACGCACACGTATATACATAAACATACACACATGCAGACGCACACACAGAGATGCGTAAATACACACGCACACACATACAAATATATACATATGAGCATATAACCGCATTTAGGGATACTTCTACAAGTACTGGCATATCTCTTTCCTAAGGTGACTGATATCTAGATACAAACTAACTCGTATGCTCCTTATCAAAATGGTCGTTTCCATACTAATTATTTTGCGAATGAACATGCTTATAAAGATGCGTAAATTTCAAGATTGCTTATTCCTAAATTTTCGCTTGAGGATGAAACAGGACTTGTTACTTTAATTTAATTTAATTTCACTAATTATATTGAGTTTTTTGGGTCTTGTTTTTGAAACATGAGAACTCTTATGTAGCAAAGGAATCATATTTTTTTTTAAATTAAAAAATAATTATAATATATATATATATATATATATATATATATATATATACATATGAAGAAATATACTCTTAAGGTGTGCTATATTTATGGGATAAAATGCTCAATATCAGAGATAGAGCGTGTGTAAATATAAAAGTGAACATTGAAGTCAACACTTAGAGGCGACAGACTGTTTCATGTTAGGCGCAATCGTCAGGCCTGAAATAGCCTGTCGCCTCTAAGTGTGGACTTCAATGTTCACTTTTATATATATATATATATATATATATATAAATGTGTGTGTGTGTGTATACGCAGATAACTAAACACCCACACATAAACGCATACACATTCACGCATGCAAAGAAAAACAGAGAGAGAAAAAAAATGACTCAATTCCTCCAATTCAAAACTACTTCGATGACTGCCGAATTAGAAGGAACAATTTAATTCCGAACTGACATCTCTCGATGTAATTCAAATTTCGTCTTAAATTTCTATATTGATTCAATTCTTACATAAGTACAAAATTTATAATGACGGAAGACGTTTTAAATGCAAGTATCTTGGAGTAAAAAAATGAAGTAGAGTACCAAATATATTTATAACATAACAATTATACAAGAGTTCAACATATTACCTAAGATTTGGCAATTTCCTAACTGTATATCTCTGATATCTCTTTTGCTGACGGTTGACCCTCATAATGTTGTGGACTCCAAAAGGAATTACATACAGAGTAGAAGCATACTTCACCAGTCAAAGATCCATCTTCGCACCCTAAGAGAAATTCCGACAGCATTTTGGAAAGCAAGAGACACCATCCCGAAAGGTGGTCCTGCGTGTTATTACAAACTTCCGTGAGGCAGACAATGCCAACTGTGTTTGAAACGAGAGAGCGGGTTCGTGCATGTTATCTTCGGGGTAATGACCAACTCAGGGATGTAACATTCATATCTTAGATAATATGTTGAACTCTTGCCTATTAGTTATGTAATGAATATAATTGGTAGTTTATGGCATTTTTATAATGCAAGATACTAGCATTTAAAATGTGACCCATCATTATATGATACCCTATATATATATGTCTATATTTCTGAGATGAGGTATTATGTACACTATTTACATTATTCGGACTATTGTCCTCATCTTTTTCGCCATATTTATTGCAACGTTTCGACCGCTGTACGCTCCAGACTTCTTCAGGTGGTAGGAATGTCGAGCTTAACCCTCACTGGGATAGACTGTTCTAGTTCCACGTGCCTTTATCCACTGTGCAATGTGTCCTCAAGGACACATAGCACAGTGTATAAAGGCGTTGGTTAGATCCAGTGACAGGACCCAAAGAGTGTGAGTTCAATACCCTGTTAAGGCAGTGGAGAATTTTCAGAGGGAAATTAACAGGAGATAACTGCTAAATGACATCCATTAAACATGACACGTGGAACTAGAACAGTCCACCACAGTGAGCGAAATAAAGGGTTCAGTCCGACATTCCAACCACCTGAAGAAGGCCTGAGCGTACAACGTCTGAAACGTTGTAATAAATATGGCGATAAACTGAGGACAATACTCCGAATAATGTAAATAATAATATATATATATATATATATATATATATATATATATATATTTACTTATTTAAAAATATGGTTTCATCGCTACACAGGAATTACCACGTTTCAAAAACAGAAGCTAAAACCTTCAAATTCAATTATAGAATTAAATTAAAGTCCCTAGTTTTGTTTCATTTTCAAGCGAATTTTGGAATAACTTATTTTGAAATTTACTGAGTTTTATAAGCACATACATTCATAATATTAGTTTCTATGGATATGAGGAAATCCAATCATTTTTAACAAGGGTGGGTAGGGTATTCTTTTTTATTGACAACTATTGTATCAACATAATAGTTACTTTTGAAAAGAGGTTAAGTCTAGGTAGTGTAGGGGTGTCTTTTCAAAAGAATGATGACATCTGTTCAACGCATGCCGTCTGGTGTTTTCAGCGACAAACATTTGTACTTGTATACATAAAGATTTTTTCTAAAAAATATGTGTGTGCGTGTGTGTGTGTTAATTCATATAAAATTACATTTTCGCGTGGAAATTAAATCGACTTTTTCCTTAGCTCGTGTGAAAGCGTCCCAAATTCTGTATTATATGAATCAATTAACATAGTTTTTTTTGTTTGTTTTTTTTTTTGTTTTTTTTTGCTGGCCGGCGAAATTGATGAAGATAGAACCTTAAATGTAGTAGCATCCCATAAACAGAAAAGAAGGCTGCGAAAAGAAAAACAAGACTCCATCTTCAAAACAAACATTTTTCTCGGATTTGAGAAGGCAGAATTCAACTTGAAAAGAAATATTTACCACCGATGATAAAGAAATATTTAAATATTTATGTTAGAGAGTAGATTATCAACAAGTAATGAGTTGTATATTTGAAGAAAATATATTCACTTCATAAGAGGCGTAATTAAGATTGTTTTTAATAAAGATTCCATTTTATTGTATCTATTCTGTTAATTCATCCCAAATATACAGGAGGTAGATAACGCTGTTAGATAAATAAAAGGAACATCTACTCAAATACAAGTATCCACTAAAAATAACGTTTAAATAATAATAAAAAATGTGTCGGATTAATAAGTAAAAAATCCATATCTTTCTTCATATTCAGGATGTTCTATAATGATGAGACGCATCAAGTATAATGCCATAGAGTATCAAATATATTTATTAAATAACTGATATACAAGAATTCAATACATCAGTTCTGTCCAAATTTTGAATAAAGAAAACAAGTGACCAAATGTTACATTTAATTACAGATTCAATCAACAATGTATTTTCCCTGATTATCTATGAATTCCTTCCATCTATTAACAAGCTTACTAATTCTATTACTGTAAAATTCTTTTGGCTTTGATTAGAAGAACTCACAAATGTCAGTTTTAATCTCTTCCTGTGTTACAAAAGCTGTTTCTTCCAAATGATTCTGTAAGCTACGAAACAAATGGTAGCCTGAAGGAGCAAGATCGGGAGAATAAGGTGGATGAGGAATTTTCTCCCAACCAAGTTCTTAGATCTTTTGTGATGTGATTCTTGCTGTTTGGGGTCGCGCATTGTCCTGATGAAACATCACCTGTTTTCGATTCACTAGAGCAGGTCTTTTTTTCCTCAAAGCTTGGTTCAAACGCTCTAATTGCTGACGGTATATTTGAGCATTAATCGCTGCATTAGGTGGTAAGAATTCAAAGTGGATTATTCCTTGGCGATCCCACCAGATTGAAAGAAGAACCTTTTGCCCATGAAGTTCCCTTCTCGACTGTGGCTGGGGTCCTTCTCCTTTACCAAGCCACTGTCTACGACGCTTAACATTTCGATAAAAGATCCATTTTTCGTCGCCAGTCACAAGTCTATCCAAAAAGGGTGAAACAATTTGGCGAGAATAGAGGGACGAGCAGATGTCAACTCGGGATTTGAGGTGGTTTTCAGACAATTCATGAGGCACCCATTTTCCAAGTTTAGGAACTTTTCCAAGTTGATGAAGGTGACGATGAACAATTGTATGGTTTGAACTGAGAACCACTGCCAATTCCTCAACTGATAAAGCAGGATTTTCTTCAAGGGCTGCTTCATCAAACTCAACTGGACGTCCGGTTCGATCTTCATTTTCAAGGGTGAAATCTCCACCTCTGAATTTTGCAAACCATCTTCTGCAAGTTCTTTCATTCACACATTCCTCTCCATAAACTGAATGAATATTTCTAGCCGCTTCGGCTGCTGAGTTTCCTTTCTTGAATTCATAAAGCATTATGTGCCTCAAATGATTCTAGGGTACTCCCATGTTTGCAGGGTTTTAATCAAACAAAATTTAATTTTATTGTTCTCTGAAATAAAATTTGATCAGTTTAAATCCATCTAAACATAAAAATAATGTTCAGCTCCATTAGACATTATAAAATACTCTTTAAATTTCGTTCATTTTAACAAAAAGTTAAAATTCGGACAGAACTTATGGGATGACCTGATATTTCCTACCCGTATCTGATATCTTTTTTGCTGACTCTCGTAATGTTGTGGAATCCAAACGAAATTGCATAAGTGCATGTTCTCTTCGCGGTGGTGACCATCTCAGGGATGTAAGTTTCAAATCTTAGATAATATGTTGAACTCTTGTATATCAGTTATGTAATGAATATAATTGATAATCAATGGCATTTTTATAATACAAGATGCTTGCATTTCATTATGAAACACCCTGCATATGCAAATTCTCTGCAGCCATATCTAGGTCTATACAAAAGAGATAAGCCACGAATAAGAAGAAGCAAATAAAGGTACATTAAAAAAATTATTTTCCTTGCCATTTTAACCAGTGTTAAAACCACCGTTCAGATTCCGAGCTTCCGCCAGTCACGATGAACAGTGAAAACCTTTTATTTTAATCATTTCACTCCAAGTAAGGCGTTAATGCCACTAAGACGCATGGTTTTGTTGGGAGTGGAAGAGAACAAGAAGACTTTAGTGAGGAGGAAGACTAAAAAAAGGACAAGATACAAGAAAACAAGATGGCGATCGACCTAGCATTAAATTTTTGAACAACATCCATTACGAGGCAAAAAATGAACACACCCATAGAAAGTCTTTTCTTGTATTTTTATCAAGACAAGTGTGTAATAGAATTCGTTTATTAATACAGATTATTAATACAGGTGTACATATGTACATTATAAACGTCAAAAAATGATTTAGTATTTTGTTGGGTAACATTTTGCTTTAATAACAGCCTTAATTCTTCGTGGCATACTATAGACTAAATTCTTTAGTAAATCAATGTCCTTCGACAGATTTTTCTTTAATTCGCGAAAAAGCTCATCTTCTGTGTTAACTTTCCTATTACGGGCACGCTTTTCAATTGGGTTAAGTCAAGACTCTGACTAGGCCACTGGAAGAGTTGCAATTTAACCTCGTCACGCTTCCTCTTTAGATAACGTTTATTCTTTAAAGCAGTGTGGTTAGGATCTTTATCGTGTTGGAACGTAAACCGATGACTTGGCCTTTCTCAAAGTCAGAACAATGCTTAGACATGTTAATTAATGTAAATATAAATGTAATAAGTTTCTTATTTTGTCCATCATAATTTCTATCGGTGCGTCCATTTTTTTGCATCGTACTGTACATAACAGGGAAACTGCAAGAGAGTTCCACAGAGAAGAAACTATTAGAATAGAACTTACGGTTACAAACATTTCAACAGAAAAACGATGAGGTAACGAGTAGGATAGCTCATTAGAACAATTGCCATGAAAATATTTATAGAAATGATAGATGGGTGCCAGGTTACCACGTTGAGACACTGACTGAAGTCGAGATGCCAATACAGGACCAATAATATTACAGACCCTTCTTTGGATTTTATCGAGAATCTCGAGATATATAACAGGAGCACCAGACCAGATACGACAGCAATATCCAATGCACGGGCGAATGGTAGATTTATAAATATGCAAGATAGATTCTTATGAGAAAAACCTTGGCGGCGAGAAAGTAAAGTCTTCATTCTAGGTGAGGACCAATAACATTACATTCTTTGGATTTTGTTGAGAATCTCAAGATATATAACAGAAACACCAGACAAGATATGGCAGCAATATTCAATTCATGGACGAATGGTAGATTTATAAATGTGCGAAATGAATTCTGACGATAAAATCTGTCTGGGTCGACACATTGCATCAATTTTCCTAGGAACAGACCTAGAAAATGATTCAATGTAATCACTCCACATCGTGTCAGGGAAAGGCATGAAAGCAAAAGGCGCAATGACTTGATCTTCTTCGCTACAAAAGCTGAAAACAAAAGTCGGCTCGCTCTATGACTACCGGAAGTACAAGGGTGGGGCCGAAAGTTTACCCCGATTTCAAATGTTAATAAAAATGACCATAAAAAAATTTGTATGTGATTTTTATACATTTCATTGTTTTTCTCTTTCACAACAATTTAACTGTTTATCCTCAAGTCTTTAAGAGTTTTGCTATATTTTAGAATGTTATCAACGCTTTTCCTAGTGGAGAGTGTGCATAACGTTGTGAAACGAAGATGTATAGGTTTTAATAGCAAACAAATACACACATTACATTCGAGTGAATATGGCGGATTCTTAACAGGAAGGGGAGATAACTTTGTTGCCTTAGGATAGAGTAGAGTATCTGCCTTTCCATTAGTAGGTTTAGGAGCTATGTCTTGCACATTGATTGCAGTTTCAACGCCAGAAAGTAGACATATATGTGCATAGTGAGGATTGATTTCCAGAAGTATAGCAGGGGTTAACGGGAGGTCATGCTTAGTTGACTTGTTGTGGCTCCTGATATACAGGGTGGGGAGGAAAGGTTGCCGAGATTTCAAAAGTTAATAAAGAAAAACACGAACATAAGAGTAAAATACTTTGTATTTATAAGTACATTACACGCCTTTGTGGTTCGAGTGGTTTTGAAAATCTTATCACTTAAGTGACGACTGCCAATATCGATGCAGTTTTTAAGTCTGTCTCAAAAGTTCATCATAGCCCTTTGAACCATGTCCCGTAGAATTGCATTGAATTCCTTAGATATTGCTTCCTTTAGCTCTTCTATAGTTGCTAATCGGTGTCGATACACTCAAGTTTTGAGGTGCTCCATAAGAAAAAAAAATCACAAGGGGCTAAATTCGGGAAATGTAGGGGCCACCCAATATCACCTCGTAGAAAACCAAGATGATCCGAAAACATGTCACGGAGGACGCCGGGTGAACATCGAGACGTATGCGATATGGCACCATCTTGTTGGAATCACACATCACCTGGATTATGATCGACGAGTAACTGGACGACTTTAGGATGGAGAAACCTTCAAGGAGTTCACAATAACGGTCCGATGTAACAGTTACTGTAATACTTTCATCTCAAAAGTGCCTCTGTCGAATCTTATCAAAACTGAAATCTGCGCCCCGGATTTTTTCCAATATCTTCTTTCATGAAAGAATTACTCCTATTCCAAGCCAACATACACGCGTACAAAAATGTAAAAAATTAAAATTCTTGAGAGTGCCGCCATCGAATCTTATCAAAATATAAATCTGCGCCCTTTGTACCATATTCCATGGAATTGATTTCCTGATTTATTGCTGCCTTCTTCTACAGTTGGTGGTCGGTTTTGATACATTCGTGTTCTGTGGTGCCCCCATAGAAAAAAAATCGCAAGGGGCTAAATCTGGGGAATGAGGGTGGGGATCCAATATCGCCTTGCAGAGAAACAAGATGACCCCGAAACATGTCACGGAGGTTTCCAAGTGAATTTGGAGACTTATACGATGTGGCACCATCTTGCTGGAACCATACATCATCTGGATTATGATCGTGTGGAACTGGACGACTTTAGGATGGAGAAACTTTTCCAGTAATTCAAAATAACGGTCCGATGTAACAGTAACCGTAATACCTTCCTCTATGAAAAGAAATAAGCACCCGACATGCCGAAATCACCCGTTGCACACCAGACAGTAACCTTCGCACTGTGGTGTGGTCGTTAGTGGAGTTCACGATGGTTATTGACTGACCAGTATGGAAAGTTCTGTTTATTAACCATCCCCGATAAATGGAAGTTCGCTTTGTCACTTCAGATCAGAACAGCTATTGGGAAGATGTTCTGGAGAATGTCCTGACACAAAGTTATCCAGCTTTCATAATCCCTTCCGCTTAGCTCCTGTACAACCATCATCTTGTAAGGATTCATTTGGAGAAACCTTTGAACTGAAATGTGTAAGGCACATGTGTGTTTCCGTGCGGAACGTCTTCGAGACTGTTGTATTGAAGCCGTCAGAGCTGCTACATTTTCTGTCCTTTTTGTGGCTCTAGAACGACCAGGAGTTTTCTTGTCTAAAGCCAATGGTGTTTGTCTAAAGTTAGAAACCCACCGCCAAATTGTTTTTTTTTTTTTTTCATCCGATACGGGATCATGACGACAGAGAGCAAAGTGCCTTCGGAAGGAACGCTGAGTCGTTACGACAGACTCACCGTTCTTAAGAAACTCTTCCACAACAAATGCTCTACTCCAGGCCCTCGTGGGGTATTACCTGAAAAAGAAAATAAATGGTATTTAATATACTTCATAGAGACCAGTCAGTTATGTGCCATGCGTGATGCACGCGTAGGCGATCATGTATCTTTCGATACATGACTGAGGAGGCAGATTTTTTTCCGCACTAGTTTGCCATTTCTTTCTGCGGTAGACCAATTGCCATCCAAGGCTATAGAAAACGGTCTGTCCTGCTATTTACCCATAGCTAGGGGGAGAAGAAGAGGATTCCTACCTTTCCCAAGAGTATTAGCACGTAAGTAAATGTAATGGATTCGAGTTGAATTCGAACTCGGTTCTCCGATTCCACAACCCGAGCCGCTATCGCATAGTACAAAGTTTTTTTTTTCTTTTATCTCCATATATTTGTTTTTTATTAACCTTTGAAATCGAGACAACCTTTCTGTCCCATCCTGTATATGAAGCCTTTGACGTGTTGTATCCTCAAAAGATTCAGGTTGGGTGAAATAATGAAATACTGGTACCATATTTGGGCAGGAACTGCTCAATTCTCACTTTCCAACCTTGATAGAGTTCAAAATCGTTTTCGCAGTCTTTGTGGGAAATGATTTATCTTCCACCATACAACCTCTTTCCTTCTAATGCAACATGGCTACTCTATAGCCATTGCCATGGCAAATGTTCGGATGAGCTCCAGTCTTTAGTTACCCTAGTTCAGACCTTTACATCTAGGACACACCATGCTTCTTCCACGGGGTCGAATCACCTTCATGTCCTCCATGGTCAAAATATAAGAAAGAATTTTAATTCATCTGCCTGGACCACTGGAGATATCATGTCTTAGTATGGAACTTGCTCGATGGTGGTGGCGAAGTTTAGATTCTTGTTTAGCACAGATTCCACAGTGAAATTTCCTGTAGGTTATCCGGATCGATATATCCCTGATGAAGGCCGGAGGGTACAATGTCAAGAAACGTTGTGATAACAATAAAAAAGATTAAGACAAGACTTAATTTGTTAATAGACTAATAATCAACCTACTTTCCGTCATGTTCCAAACATAAGAAGGAAGTCTTATTCCGACATCTTTTTTTCTCAAGAAATACTACTCCGTGGAACAGATTTGTACATGTGTGCTTCCATAAATACTTTAATCTTTACTTCTTCAAAGCAAGGGTCAATTGTTATCTATTCTTCTTATCCTTATAAACTCCACATCTTCCTGCCTCCTATTTTCTTAATACAATAGAATTCCTCATATCCGGAATCCCTCATATACAGAATCCCTCATATCCGGAATCCCTCATATACGGAATCCCTCATATCCAGATATGATTTTTATGTGTATATTTGAACTATTTGGGTGATATGTAACTGATTTGAAATGTTTTTTTAGGAAATTTATTTTGGATAATTTCTTATGCTTATTTCACCCTAATGGCTTGCATTGGTGCAAAGGACGATGGGAATAAGAGGAAAAGAACAACTTTGGAGTTATTGCAAAATGTGGGAATTTTAAACCGACTAGATGCTGGTGAAAGTTCATTGTAACTAATGGCTGAGTTCAACATAGGAAAGTCAACATTGTATGATAGAAAATCTTCTAAAAAAATATTCTCCAGCATTCACACTCTCTCAGTGAACAAGGAAATAAAAAAATACATGATTGTGATGAAACCTGGACTGAAACTGGAAAAGCTATTGAAAAGGTTGTCAGTTTTATGGAAAGAAAGCCAGCATTCAGCTATGACGATTGCAATAACGCACGCAGAGTTAAAAATTGTCTAGCGTTTAAAACATTTCAAGAACAAAATCAAAACGAAATGCGGAAAAAGTTGAGAATGACATTAGAAGAGAAAGAATCAACATGCAACAGCGATTAAAAAATCCTCGTTACATTATTTGTTTTGCATACGTGGCAGACTTAATTTAATGAATTTTCATTAACATTACATAATTTATTTCTTTTCCCTAAAAATCAATTCCATTATATTTCACTCACCATTAGCTTATTTTGTTTACTATAAAACATTGAAAATAAATGTTAAACCTGACTTCAGTTCTTTTATGTTAATCTAAGTATAACTTCTCATATCCGGACTTTGTAACAAATTCTTCATATCCGGAAGGCCTTCATAATCCGGTTGTCAGGGATTCTACTGTATCTCAAACCTCATTCATTTATTTCGACAGTAAATTCCTACTTTGAGTGGCTTTCGAGCCTTCTATAGCGAGATATTTTTTAAAAGTAAATAGCTGTAAAATTCTACTTTCAGGGAAGAATCCTTTCTCGTTTTACTTTTCTTCGTCTTCGTCTGAAACCGATGTGGCTTGATATGGTCTTATCAGCAATCAGCAAACCTACGCCAGAATTGAAATAATTTCTAAAAGCTTCGTTGTCGAAAACAAAGCCAACAAAAGTCAAATGTCTGACAATGAGTGTAAAGCAAGTTTTGCGTTTATTACTGACTGCTTAGGTGTGCGCGTCGTACAACGGCTAGCGACTAAGACAGAGAAAATCTGTGAGACGAGTTCAAATTCCGCTTGTGTTTGTTATATTCGCTTTCTCTAAAACAGCTTAGGGAAAGATACGAAACCATCTATTCTCCCAAACTCACCCCAGCTATGAGTTAAATACTACGACTGACTGGTCTCTCTTACCTTAAGGTGGCAACCAGTCTAGGAAAAGGAAAAGAAAGATAGGCTCTGTTAAGCTATCAATGCTCGAGACATTGTTGCTATGGCTGCAGTACTTCCACAACCCTAATGGAGTACGGGACACGTGACATGACCACGTGGTCAATATTTGACAATTTGTTGAAGAGGAGGATTTTGTCTTAGAGTTAGATATATATTTATGTGATAGGTTATACTGGAGATGTTATTGTGATCATGTGTTTTCGAACAGGAGATAATGTATTGTGTAGTGTGCAATGCGACACGTGGTTCACTGGAGACTAAGAAGTCCCCCGTAAGGAAAACGAGATACGTTTTTTTATCAACATCGAACGCGCGTTAAAAGTCCCGTAGTAAAAAAGAGTGAGATAATGCGTTATCTCACTTATCCACTGCCTTCTTTGTTAACCAACTTAAAATAACAGTTATAAGTTTCAATGTATGGATATTGATTTTGTTCTTTTAATTATTGAGCACGAAATTTGAAATCTGTTTGAGAATTTCCTTTTCTGTTTTGATAAATACTACACTGATTCAGTCTTAGAGTGCAGAAAGAAATCAATTCTAAAAACAAAAATTAAATAAAAACTTTGTCGTCCATCATTTCCATCCGTTTATTTTTTAGTCTTTGCTTACTCTTCCTGTTTTTATTTTATAATCTCATTCCGTCTTTCTTCGAATTTCCCGACTAAATAAACGACAGTCTATAAACAAGCATGAACATGGCGGCTTCTTACCATCAGCCTAGTGGACGCGATATACAACCATAGAAGAGATATAATAGAGGAATTTTCTTATACAAGTTTTTACACCTCCTAACCCTTCCTCCCTCCCTCTCTCTGTTTCTTTCTTTATAAGAGTCTTTCTACTCTTTCGTTCACTTTCTCCTTTGCACTACTATTCGTGATTGTTAGAGAGATTTGACTTTCTTCTTTGTAACCAGGCGACTCTGCGCCAATATCTTGAGTTGTCTGATAAAATGTCACCGTCTCCGACCTAAAACACCAACTTGCCGTGTATCTAACCTCCTCCATCAACTGACCTCCCTCTACACCCCGAGTCTGTCTAGAGGCCACTCAGAGTATATCTACTACCTCTGTGTGATGGCTTTCCTTCTTAATGGAGGGTGAAACATTCGAAAAAGAGTTAATGATAGGGTAGTGTGAATAAATCTCTTTATCAGTAAAATAGAAATGGCAAAAGATAGACTAATTTCTTTACGCTCTCCTCTCCCTATCTCCCTCCATCTCTTCTCACCCTCTCATTCTCTCTGTCTTTACATCTCAGTCTCTCTCTCTCGATTCTTCTATCTCCATCTTTCCCTTCCCCCTCTCTCTCTCTCTCTCTCTCACTCAGTCCTTCTATCTGCATCTCTCTCTTCTCCTCTGACCTTCCACACTATCTCTCTCACTTTCAATCTTTCTATCTCAACTCTCTCTTTCTCCTCTCCCCTCCCCACTCTCTCTCTCACTCTCAATCCTTCTATCTCCATCTCTCTCTTCCTCTCTCTCCTTCCCACTCTCTCTCACTCTCAATCCTTCTATCTCCATCTCTCTCTTTTCCCACTCTCTCTGTTACTCTGAATCATTCTATCTCCATTTCTTTCTTCCCGTCTCTCTTTTCCACTCTCTCCATCTCTCACTCTCAATCTTTCTATCTCTCTATTTCTCTCTTTCTCCCCACTCTCTTGCCCCTTCACTCTCTCAATCCTTCTATCTATATCTCTCTCTTTCCCCTCTCTCCTTCCTACTCTCTCTCTCACTCTCAATCTTTCTATCTTCATTTCTCCCTTTCCCTCTCTCCTTCCCCCACTCTCTCTCTCTTTCTCTCAATCCTTCTATCCCCCTCTCTCTCCTTCTCTTGTCTCTCCTCTCCCTCTCTATCCCTCACTCCCTCTCATTCTATCCCTCTCCTCACTGTGTGTGTGCGTCTTCACCATCGGAACTGAAGATCAGCGTTCAAGTCCATGCAAAAGCCAGTTTTTCGAATGCTGATTTTGAAGGCACGAAAGTCATACTCGTAACATTTCGGTCGATTCTTTCTACAAACGTCTTCAGCAGTGTAACCCGCATTATTTTTGTATGTGTGTCTGTGGATATGTAGTAGTAGTAGTAGTAGTAGTAGTAGTAGTGGTAGTGGTAATAGTAGTAGTAAAGAAAAAAAGTAAAAAAAATAAAGAATGAAGTCAGAATTAATTTGCGAATATTAATGACTTTTATCCAAAGAGGTTCGAATATCGATGTCATATTATCTTTAATTTCGCGTTATAATATTATCTTGAATCTTAGATGAAGCAAATTCAACGATTAATAATTTTAACCCGTATTCCTTTCATCTTAATTTCACTTGCTTTATTTCCATTAGTACTGTTAGTAATAGTAATATTACTTTTTATTGACTTTTATTATTAGATAAAACAATGTCAGTCATTATTAATTTACTAATGATTAATTCCATCTTAATTCCCGTTCTGGCTATGACGATAAACTTCATCTGCGTCCTGGGTAAGACGATAAACTACATCCGACATCAAGGCCTCTTATCAGAAGGTTTCGGGCGCGTAGAACCACCTCTTAATTGCTGGTGTTTCCAGGTCCACCCTGACTCAGGGTGGTAGACCCTGTTAGGGTCCCAGCTATGAGCAAATAGTTAACCTCCAAACTAGGGTGAAAACGTGTAAAAATAGATTTTATTACCAGCAATACATTTCTCAAAAGAAGAATTACCAGAAATACATTTTTCTGAAAAGAAATATTACCAGAAATACTTTTTGAAAAAAAATATTACCAGCAATATATCAGGTCATCCCATAAGTTCTGTCCGAATTTTGAATAAAGAAAACAAGTGACCAAATGTTACATTTAATTACAGATTCAATCAACAATGTATTTCCCTGATTATCTAATACATCCTTCCATCTATTAACAAGCTTACTAATTCCATTACTGTAAAATTCTTTTGGCTTTGATTCGAAGAACTCACAAATGTTAGTTTTAACCTCTTCCTGTTTCTTCCAAATGATTCTGTAAGCTACGAAACAAATGGTAGTCTGAAGGAGCAAGATCGGGAGAATAAGGTGGATGAGGAATTTTCTCCCAACCAAGTTCTTCGATCTTTTGTGACGTCATTCTTGCTGTGTGGGGTCGCGCATTGTCCTGAAGAAACATCACCTCTTTTCGATTCACTAGAGCAGGTCTTTTTTTCCTCAAAGCTTGGTTCAAACGCTCTAATTGCTGACAGTATATTTGAGCATTAATCGCTGCATTAGGTGGTAAGAATTCAAAGTGGATTATTCCGTGGCGATCCCACCAGATTGAAAGAAGAAACTTTTGCCCATGAAATTACCTTCTCGGCTGTGGCTGGGGTTCTTCCCCTTTACCAAGCCACTGTCTACGTCGCTTAACATTTCGATAAAAGATCCATTTTACGTCGCCAGTCACAAGTCTATCCAAAAAAGTTGAAACAGGTTGGCGAGAATGGAGAGAAGAGCAGATGTCAACTCGGGATTTGATGTTGTTTTCAGACAATTCATGAGGCACCCATTTTCCAAGTTTAGGAACTTTTCCAAGTTGTTGAAGATGACGATGAACAATTGTATGGTTTGAACTGATAACCACTGCCAATTCCACAACTGATAAAGCAGGATTTTCTTCAAGGGCTGCTTCAAGAAGATTTTCATCAAACTCAACTGGACGTCCGGTTCGATCTTCATCTTCAAGGGTGAAATCTCTACCTTTGAATTTTGCAAACCATCTTCTGCAAGTTCTTTCATTCACACATTCCTCTCCATAAACCGAGTGAATGTTTCTAGCCGCTTTGGCTGCTGAGTTTCCTTTCTTGAACTCATAAAGCATTATGTACCTCAAATGATTCTTGGGTACTTCCATGTTAGCAGGGTTTTAATCAAACAAAATTTAATTTTATTGTTCTCTGAAATAAAATTTGATCAGTTTAAATGCATCTAAACATAAAAATAATGTTCAGCTCCATTAGACATTATAAAATACTCTTTAAATTTCATTCATTTCAAAAAATAAAGGTAAAATTCGGACAGAACTTATGGGATGACCTTATAAATCTGGTCGGCATTAAATACCTCATTGAAGTTGATATGCCGTAAAACAAACGAAACGAAACCAAACCATCTTAATTTTAGTTGCTTTATTTACATTAAGACTTATAAGAATAAATATCCAGTTGAAGTTAGCATGTAAAACATATAAATCTTAATAACACGAATTTGCTTTGAAAAATGTTTGTCAAATCTTAAACTGTTAATCACATCACATCAAAGCTTGAGTTACATTTTAGGTGGTGTTTAAACATGTCATTTTAAAGTTGATTTATTGTAATCTAAAGTTATTTTTGAAAAACCAGAAAATCGCTTTTTACTTCAATGAGGAGGTAATAAAATTATCCACACTTGATCAACATCTATAATAGAACAAATAACATACACATTTGAAGCTTTTATATCTTAATATAGTGATCCGTGCTCTCAATAATAGCCAGTAATATATTATCCATTGATTTTGTTAAATTGTTTACTTCAGCAGATTCAATTTCCGACATGTTGGTTTAAATTGCTTCCCGTAGGTCTGCTTTGCTGACATGTTTGTCACCGTCATATAATTTCATCTTCACAATTGACCCTGAGTTTTTTTGATCGGATTGAAGTCGGGATTTGATGATATCCATGCCATTATCTTCTCTCCTATAAAAAGTTTATTGCAGTTTTTTATAAATGTGCTAAAACTAGCTGAAAATTAAACCTAAGCTTTGTTTTGACGTCTAAAGGAAATTTGATAAATTTTTTCGAGTTATTGATGTTTCTACTATCTACATAATAACTTCTGATGGACTAATTACTAATAATTATTAATATCTTGAATTTTACCAGGTGAAGCATTGCTGACCGTCATTAATTTTTCTTTCATCTTATTTCGCTGGCTTGATTTACACCCGTAGTAATATTCTCTTGAATTTTATTGGATGAAGCATTGACAACCAAAGGGTATTTCTTAAACATTAATTTCAATTTTCTTTTTACAACTACCGAATGAAAACGAAAACAATATCCATGAAAACGTTTGAATCTAATCTGGAATAATAACATATCTCTCTTCAAGGACCAAGGATACATTAAACCAGTCAACTTCCAGGATCTATTCCAGTACCAATTTTGATGATAATCTTGTCAGCTCCATGTTAAGATGTAATTAAATGATTGTCTCTCATTACTTGCTGAGAAAATGGTAATATACAGCTACTATATATTTTGTTAGTTATGACATAAAAAATACTATGTATGTTAATTAAGCTACAGCCAAGTTTAGAATATGCAAACCACATCGTGTTTCTCTCGCTCTGCCCTCTCTTTCTCTCTCTCCTCTCTCTGCCTTTCTTTCTCCCTCTATTTCTGACTATTTCTTCCTTTCCATTTTCTGCATTTTCAATCTTTCTTTTTCTCTTTTCTGACATTCTTTTTATTTGCCTCTCTCTGTTTCTTTTACTTTCTCTGTTTACTGCTCTCTTTCTCTTTCTTTCTCTCTCTCTCTCTCTCTCTCTCTCTCCCGTTCTCTCGCTTACTCGTTTTTTTGTCTATTTTTTGTGCATCTATCTATCTATCTATCTATCTATCTATCTATCTGCCTGTCTGTCGTTCTCTCTCTCTCTCTCTCTCTCTCTCTCTCTCTCTGCTTATCTCTCGCTTTAATTTCCTCTCATTCCCTTCCTGTTCTCTTTCTTAATCTTCTCACTGACTCTTTCAACTCTTTCTTTCTCACCCTCCACCTCTCACCTTTCTCTCTCGACGTCTTTTTTTCACGCTTTATCTCTTTTCTCCCACTGAAATTCGTCTTTTCAAAAAAAAAATATATGTATTTGATTATTTAAAAAACTCTGTGTAAAGGTTCGTTTTTAACTAGAGGCTATATGCATATTAAAAACCGATTATTTTTTAAAAGGAAAGATCACTGGAAACTTTCACACACATCTAATATAAACTTTACTATACAAGTTGGCTACAAATAACCGGAAGTTGCTGTAATTCAATAAACTGTAAGTACAGACTAGCTAATGTGTCCTTCACTTGGCCTACCCAACCAGGTTTTCATCGATTGATCTATAAATCTATCAGTACATGTCGTTTTACATCATCCGTCTCTTTTATACATACTAATATTACTATTTATTTTATTTTTGGTAATCAGTCGATACTAAACCTTCCGGTCGTTATCTTCCGATCTATCTCGTGTGTGTGTCTGTGACTGTAGTTCGTGTTAGTGTGTGGGTGGGTGTGTGTATGTGTTCGTGCTAGTGCGCGTGTGTTTTATTCTGTTTATTTATGAACGTTAATGTCAGCACGCGTATTCAATCCCCCTCCTTCATTTGCTCTTTACACTTCATTATATCTCTTACCATTACCCTTTCTCCATGTCTTCCCTCTGTGTGTTTCTCTCTTTCACTGCCACTCTCCTTTATCTATCTATCTATCTATCTATCTATCTATCTATCTATCTCTCTATCTATCTATCTATCTATCTGTCTCAGTCTATTTATCATCTATCTATCTATCTATCTATCTATCTATCTACCTATCTGTCTGTCTGTCTGTCTGTCTCAGTCTATTTATCATCCATTTCTCTATCTATCTATCTATCTATCTATCTGTCTCAGTCTATCTATCTATTTATCTATCTATCTATCTATCTATCTATCTCCTACTCTTCCATTTATTTTTTATCTTGTTTCTCTCTACTCATCCCATTAATATCGGTTCTCTTTGGTTTCCCTTTCATCATTCTCTCTTTCTCTCTCTCTCTCTCTCTCTCTCTCTCTCTTGCTTCTCTATCCCCTCTCTCACCTCACTTTCAAACTATCCTTATCTCACACATTTCTTATCTTCTTTTCTTACCCAATTTCGACGGCATCGGCTATTTTACCTGT